GACCTGTGAAACCAATCTGAAGCCCATCTAACCTAAACTATTCCATTATCATCCATATGTTTATCCAATGACCATTTAAATGCCCTTAAAGTGGGCGAGTCTACTATTTTTGCAGGCAGGGCATTCCACGCCCTTACTACTCTCTGAGCAAAGAACCTACCTCTGACATCTGTCCTATATCTATCACCCTTCAATTTAAAGCTATGTCCCCTCGTGCTAGCCATCACCATCCGAGGAAAAAGGCTCCCACTGTCCACCCTATCTAATCCTCTGATCATCTTGTATGTCTCTATCAAGTCACCTCTTAACCTTCTTCTCTCTAAATCATACACACTCTACTAAAACCTCTTATAATTTCCACTATTTCTTCAAAATACCCTGACGGGTCCAATTGTTACATTTATTTGAGTTGACATATTTTAATTGAGACTCTGTGATGTGCAGGCTGCGATCTCTGAATGATCTGGACACTGAACTGCAATCAAAAGCATCAGAGCTGAGATGCCTGATGGAGCAGCTGACTGTAGTGAACCCTGCTCTCACAGAAGAGGCCCAGGAGCATCTGTCCATAGCACAACATGTCTTTGAAGAGACAGAGAGGAACATCCATGACTGGTGAGTGGACTGGGCCATTTACAAATTTCTCCCTTCGTGAATGCTCAGACAAGGGACACATTATGTCCCAGGGTGGCTCAGCGGTTAACACTGCTGCCCAGGTTTGATTCCTGGCTTAGGTGACCATCTGTGTGGAGTTTGAACATTCTCCCTGTGTCTGTGTGGTTTTCTGCCAGGTGCTCTGGTTTAATTGGTCATGCTAAGTTGTCCAATGATGTACTAGCTGGATTAACCATAGTAAATGCAAGGTAGCTGACTCTGGGTGGGATATTATTTGGAGGGTCAGTGTGTACTGAATGGGCCTAATATTCTCCTTCTGCACTTTAGGGATTCTATGATCCTAAAAGCCAGGAAGATATGTTACACCTTTTAAAACACTGCTTCACCCTCAGTTGAAGTACTGTGTCCGATTCTGAACATCACACTTTATGAAAGGCCTTGGGGAAGGTGCTGAGGAGATTTGGAATGGTAGCAAAAGTGAAGAAATTGAGTCATGCAGAGAGACTGGAGGAGCTAGAAATGTTCTCAAGATAGACAAGGTTAAGGAGGGATTTTATTCAGATGAAGGTTTTTTTTACAATGTAGATATGGAGAAACTTTGTGAGGTTCTGTAACCAGGTGCCACAGATTTAAGGTAATCACCAAATATTTTAATCAACCTGTTCAGATGTGTTGTGACACACCTTGGGAGCAAGTGGGACTTGAACACAGCAATTCTGGCCCAGAGGTAGGGACACTACCACTGTGCCACAAGAACCACTTAGTCCCTCAGGGTAGTGTCCTTGGCCCAACCATCTTCAGGTGCTTCAACAATGACCCTCCCACCACCTTAAACTCAGAAGTGGGGATGTTCACTGATGCTTGATTTACTGAAATGGCCAATTCCATGCTTGTTAACGACCCTCCAGAATAAAAGAAACATCCACCAACTTTCTTTAGGGATGATCAATAAATTCTGGTCCATCCGGCAATGTCCAAATTCCATGGACGCACAAAAAGAACCCTTTTCAATCCAGAAAATTTCCAAGTAATTCAAAACCTGCCAGTTTTTTCCAGAGTCCTTAAATATATGTACGTATTCTCAACAATTGGTTCCAGTTCGATCCTTCACTAACTGCCTTTCTCAAAGATAGCAGTTGTAGGTATATGGGGAAAGACCAGGGGAGAGGGATTAATTAGTTAAGAGCAGACACAAATACAGTGAACTTTGTAATCTCCTTCTGCTTTTTAACATTCAATGAGCCTGTCCCAATGCAGGCTTTTCTTGACCTCAGTCAACAGCTGTGTATATTTAGTCTACTTTGCTTAGCCTTCTAATTGAGTTTAAATTGGATTTTTCAAATAGGCAGCCAAAAGTCAAAGACTGGGAACAGCTGAATGTTTCTGGGACTTGAACTCAGAGGTTTTAATAAGTGATCGCATTTTGCAGTCTGGTTCTGAGCCATTCAGAAAAGGAAGATCTCAGTAACTGCCAGGAGAGTTGTTCTGGGTTCAGGGCCAGTATGATGGCTCTCTCAATTTGTGGTTGCACTTAGATAAAACCACAGAAGAGACCAACAGCATTTAAGATATAGAAATAGGATATGAAGCACAATAATAAACAGCAAATGAGAAGTCTGTATACAACATTCAACAAATCACACTGCACTGGGGGCAGTTTTGATCAAGATGATGCCAAACAATCTATATGTGTTCTGAGGAGACAATGTTAACTCTGTTTCTCTCTCATCTGATGCTGCCAGACCTACTGAGTTTCTCCAGTATCTTCTGTTTATATTATAACAATCCATCCTGGTCGATCCATATTGACGCTACAGTTGAGAAAGCACATCAACGCCTCTACTTCCTCAGGAGGCTAAGGAAATTTGGTATTTCCACATGACTCTTACCAACTTCTTTAGATGCACCATAGAAAGCATCCTACCTGGATGCATCACAGCTTGGTATGGCAACTGCTCTGCCCAAGATCACAAGAAATTACAGAGAGTTGTGAACACAGCCCAGACCATCACACAAACCAGCCTTCCTTTCCACTGACACAAAAACAAAGTTGCTGGAAAAGCTCAGCAGGTCTGGCAGCATCTGTGAAAGAAAAAGAAGAGTTAACGTTTCGGGTCCGGTGACCCTTCCTCAGAACTTCCATTGACTCCATCTACACTTCCCACTGCCTTGGGAAAGCAACCAACATAATCAAAGAACCCTCCCACCTAGTTATACTCTCTTATCGGGCAGAAGATATAAAGGTTTGAAAACACATACCAACAGCTTCTTCCCCTCTGTTATCAGACTTATGAATGGACCTCTCATATATTAGAGTTGATCTGGTTATCACGCAAAACAATACTTTTCACTGTAACTTGGTATGTGTGACAATAATAAATCAAATCAAATGGGGGAAAGGCTTGGGATCCTCAGATTATCTCCATAGTGGTTAGGACTATATTCACTGGGGTTTAGAAGAATGATGGGGATCTCATAGAAACCTATAAAATTCTAACAGGACTAGACAGAGTAAATACGGGAAGGATGTTCCCAATGACCAGGGAGATTCCAGAACTAAAGGTAGGATATGGGGTAGTGCATTTAGGACTCAGATGAGGAGAAATGTTTTCTCCCAGAGAGTAGCGAGTCTGTGAAATTCTCTGCCACAGAAAACAGTTGAGGCCAAATCATTTAATGTTTTCAAGATGTTATAGTTCTTCAGACTGAAGGGATCAAAGGGTATCAGGAGAAAATGGGAACAGGGGACTGAGTTGGATGATCAGCCATGATCATAGAGTCACACAGCACAGAAACAAACCCTGCACTTCAACTCGTCCATGCTGACCAAGTTTCTCAAACTAAACGAGGCCCATTTGCCTGCCATATCCTTCTAAACCTTTCCTATTCATGTACCTGTCCAAATGTCTTTTAAATGTTGTAACTGGTGATTCAAACCATATACAAACCAGTGTCTGTGTGAAAAAGTTTCCTCTCAGGTCCCTTTTAAATCTTTCTCCCATCACCTTAAAAATATGCTCTATCAAATGGTGGAGCATGCTCGATGGTCTGAACGGTCTACTCCTATTTTTCCATAACTCTATGATGTCAGTCTTTGGGAGAGAATTCCAGTTGAAACTAGCCCTGTATGAAAAAGATGTTTTTTTGATTCATCACTGAATGGCCTATAGGGAGAGACCAGGAGCAGTGGGATTAGTTTGAGATTGATATGGGGCTATAGGGAGAGACTGGATAATATTGAACTACTGCTTAGATTTTGCAGTTCTTCCTCCAATACCTTCAACCTGTGTACATTGCACCCAGAGCCTGTGCCCCTCTCTGTGAACCAATGTGCAGTGCCCGTGTCAAACCCACTTCTGCATGATACCCTTTCACTTTTCTTTATGTTATGTTGATTGCTGAATGCTCACTCTGGGTTTCTCTACAATACCATTCTCTGCTTTTCTCTATCCTCAGGCAGGACCAATGCCACATGCTAATGGCCTTTCTGAGAGAGTATCAAAACTACAGGAAGGAACTGACAGCTACAATTCAGAAAGGAGCAGCTGTCCTTCCAGGGCACACATCTTACATGGGGAAGGAAAAGCTGCAAAGACTAATGAGCGACGTAAGTGCCAGGAAAATGATGGAGATTTGAAAAACCTGGGTGAAACAATGCACCAGAACGATGGGCTTTAGTCAGGGAGCTACTGGAGCAGATGGATTAATTTTGAATGGGTCCTATTAGTCTCAGACTTCCTTTGTAGGCTTACTGTCCATGAGTCTCGCGATCCGTCCCTGGTAAAACCTTCCATTGTAATTCTCTGTATCACATAGCAGGGGAGATGGTGTCATAGGGGAACCATCACTGGGTCAGTGGTCCAGGAAAATGCTCTAAGGCCATGGATTCAAGTCCCACTGTTTACAACCGGTGGAATGTGAGTTAACAAAGTCAATAAATCTGGAAATATAAGGTGAGTCACGGTGACTGTGGAGTGATTGTTGTTGTTTAAAAACCCATTGCGTTTGAGGGAAGTAAATCTGTCATCCAACCCTGAACATTACTGATACAACAGCAGACCCCCAGCTTGTATGGCTGACTCGTAAACACCCTCAGAAATGGCCTGAACAAGCCACTCAGCCCAAGGACAGTTACAGATGGGTCACAGATGATACTCACATCCCATGAAGCAAAAAAGAATAACTGAGCTACAATTTAATTTCAGATTAATGACATAAAACGAGAGTTCGACAGCCAACAGGGGAAAGTAGATGAATTGAGAAAGGTTTGTCGCCATCTGCAGTCAGAGCTGAAGAAAATTATGAATTGCAATTCCTTACCATTCCAGGCAGAAGCGGAAGAACTGTTGGATCAATGGTTGGATGTAAGTAACAGCAAATGGAAGCTTAGATTCTACTGAAGGTACATGGATCTGTACTGAAGATTCAAGGAATTTTAACTCCATCTGCTAAGTTTACCTGTCCCTATCTGATATAGCTCCCACAGAGGAGAAAGGGTCTACAGGGGTTTGTTTTTATTATGTGTTTATTCTTGGGGTGTGAGTCTATTGAAAATGCTGTCATTTATAGCCCATCCCCAATTATGCAGAGAGCAGGTAAGAGTCAAACACATTAGTTGGGACAGGAGCCACATAGAGGCCCATACTGTCTGAGGAGAGCAGGTTTCCACGCAGAACAGGAATGAATGGTTTGGGTTTTTATCTAGTGCAGAGATTAAGCTTAGGTGTGGCCCCGCTGTATCTGATGGCTGTACAGAGCTTTCTCTGCTGGGCAGGGACATGGTAGAGTGTGCCTGGGTGAATTACACAGAGATTTGCTGGATTCCTATGCCTTGATATCAGGGGTGCAGCTGATCCACAGTTTCCTGATGGGTTCTGAGTGGAGACTGGCCTCATAACAAAGCTAGAAGAAAATATAGAAATTTAACCACACTGGTCCCACTATTTTAAATGCTGAATTTTTTTTCTCAACATACAACATTGAAACAGACCCTTCAGTCGAACTTGTCTGTGCTAACCAGACATTCCAATCTGACCTAGTCCCATTGCCAGCATTTGGCCCCTATCCCTCTAAACCCTTCCTATTTACATACCCATCTAGATGTCTCTTAAATGTTATAATTGTACCAGCCTCCATCACCTCCTCTGGCAGCTCATTCCATACATGCACCACCCTCTGTGTGAAAAAGTTTCCCTTTAGGCACATTTTAAATCTTTTCCTGCTCACCTTAATCCCTATGCCCTCTAGTTTTGCAGTCCCCAACCCTGAGGAAAAAACCTTGGCTATTCACTCTATCCATGCTCCTTGTGATTTTATAAACCTCTATAAGGCCCCACCCCTCAGCCTCTGATGCTCCAGGGAAAATAGCCCCAGGCTATTCAGCCTCTCCCTGTAGCTCAAACCGTCCAGTCCTGGAACATCCTTGTAAATTTTTTCCGAACCCTTTCAAGTTTAACAACATCCTTTTTATAGCAGGGAGACCAGAGTTGAATGCGGAATTCTAAAAGTGGCCTCCCCAATGTCCTGTACAGCCACAACATGACCTCCCAACTCCGATACTCAATGTTCTGACCAATAAAGGCAAGCGTACCAAATCCTTCTTCCCTGCCCTGTCTACCTGTGACTCCACTTTCCAGGAAATATGAACCTGCACCCCCTTGGTCTCTGTGTTCGGCAACACTCCCCAGGACCTTACCATTAAGTGTATAAGTCCTGCCCTGATTTGCCTTACAAAATGCAACACCTTGCATTTATCTAAATTTAACTCCATCTACCATTCCTTGGCCCTTTGGCCCATCTGATCAAGGTCCTGATTTACTCTGAGATAATCTTCTTCACTGTCCATTATGAAATAACTCCACTGAGGCCGGTATCCCATCACCAAGTCACACTTTATTTACACGTGGAGAGTCCTTTATACTGACGCAGCTCCCTCACAGCCAGCTGTCAGAGTCAACTGAACCTCTGACATTCCTGTCAGCCAGGGCTTCCTGATTGGACCAGGTTAACAGCCCCAATCAGGGAACTCATACTCTGTGAGAACCAAAAGAACTGCAGATGCTGTAAATCAGGAACAAAAACAGAAGTTGCTGGAAAAGCTCAGCAGGTCTGGCAGCATCTGTGAAGAAAAAAAATCAGAGTTAACGTTTCAGGTCCAGTGACTCTTCCTCAGAACTTCCTCAGAACCGGACCTGAAACGTTAACTCTGATTTTCTTCTCCACAGATGCTGCCAGACCTGCTGAGCTTTTCCAGCA